GTCTCCACCCAAATTTCCCAACTTTGCAACAATAGCTCAAATTCAACATTGCAAAAATTAAGAAAGGATTTTCCAGGAACAGGAGGAATAAAACCACACACATGCATAGAGTCTATTTAGTCAAGTATTCTGTGTATCACCTTTCAGGAAAAAAAAAAAAAGTAATAAATTATCGAGGGACAAATGTCAGACAGACTGACTGAAAGGTGATATTTACACTGGACTCCTGGGATCAGATGAATCAGATTCCACTATGGCTTGTGTCCTTGCACCAGCGCATAGGAAGGCCAAGGCTCTGCTGACCTGCTTCTAAAGTGCAGAGCTTGAGMTGCCTGGGAGGGATGCAAAGGCCCAGCTCAGTGAATTCACACAATTAAAGTATCTTCCCAACCTTCTGCTCTTTTTCTACTCCCTTCTACTCCCCTTCCTTTTTTTAAATACACTTTTATCAGTTTCCCTTTGCATGTCCCCATGCTGCTCTGCAGATGTTTTTGCTGGCGCACCCAGAACTGCACTCTGCAGCATGGGGAGAGGAATGATGCTCCTGGTCAAAGAACACRCTAGACCATTAAATCACACTCAGCTTGTGTTAAAATTCCTCCCCAGTATTACTTATTATTGYCATTATTATTATTATTAAAGCTTTGGAGAGTGGTAGTATTTTAGAAAGCTAACTTTGTGWCAAGTAGGAAAAATAATTTTAAAAAAAGTCTGTTGAGCAGATTTGAGGAAATATGCTGGCTGTTTCTAAAAGGAAGTATATCAGCAGACTTCTTCCACATTTCTTTGTTGTTTGTTTATTTATTAGTTTCAGAATAAAACATGTTTGAAAAACAAACAAACAAACAAACAAACTAAAAAACATCCTGGAAAACTCTTGCTTCCTGGCCAGCTACATCCTTCAGTGATATATGTAGATATCCTGGGCAAAATGTTCTCCATATAATTTGGATAGATTTCAACAAGTTGAAATGGCAGTAGAGTTTGCTAGTGTTGTCAGAGCTTATAAGTGGTGGTGAGTCCCGTCTCTACATGCCTCATATACACACTGGACAAATCATCCTGATAGTCCTATTTATAAAATTAATTTCTACAATTACTAGCAACAGTTTGAACTGTTTCAGACAGCTTAGTCTTCACTTAAGTTACTGTWTTAAAGGTGTAGCAAATACATCTTAACTACCTCCTCCTAGAAAACAGCCGAAAGGAAGGCTCATCCACTGGACGAGCTCAATCACGCATAAAGGTATATAGTACCAAGCTGGTTTAAGTACCCTGCAATAAAATCACTGCTTAAAATTTATAGTGAGATAATGACTGTGCATGAATTAATGCTCTGGAAAATAAGTCTTTGACTACAACTCTCTATTTTTTACAGGCRTATAATTATCATGTTGCTCTTGCAGAGAGCCATCCACAAAACAACAATTTTGTGGACAAAACAACTCTTAGTAAGGAATTAATATCAGAGACTAGAGAGGACTAGAAAAATGCTAACATTCTTGCATCTTCCCAAATTACAAATCAGACAAAAAAAAAAAAAAACCTCTAAATCCCACATTATGTTTAGATTCTGTATTTGTTGCTATTCTTTTTGCCACACTGCGCTAACAGCTTCAGTTGCAGTAGGGAAGATGTGCTGCTGTGGTCAGCACAGTTTATAAGAAGAGAAATCAGTCTTTATAGGACAGATATATCTAAAATAGTTGGTAGGTTTTTGTGCACAAGCACCTTGTTTTCAGTTCTTTTTTGTCTGAAATCAACTTTGTGTGAAGCAGTCTGGGCACATCACCATCACTTTGTGCTTTAAAATTGCAGATAGGCCATTAGTACCGAGGTCATCCTTGGCTCCCAGACTGSAGAACTGGCCAGACTGATTAACAATCACTTTTTATTTGTTTATTTGTTTTCTCACAAGATTGTTTTCTGTGCAGCAAATCTTTTCCTCACATCAGCACCCATACGGTCACACAAAACTTCTATTTGGATAGTCAGTGGTTGGTCAAAGTGGCCAAGATTGAGAAAGGCAAGAGATAAAAGCTTAATTGTCAGTCATTCAGTATGTAGTGAGCCAATCTAAAAGTTTATCAGTTGCCTTACAAAAGGCACCAATGAATATCAAAGCTTTGGCAGGGTTAGTACCAGACCACTCCCTATTGGAGACAACTGCAAGCCACTGAACTGACTTGACCACTCTGCAGCACTTTGCCCTCAGTCTCATGATTTTTGTAAAACGGTTGTAAAACATGGCTCAGGGAGGTGAGATAATCGACACCATTCCTGTTGCAGAAGACCAGACACCTTGCGTGAAATGATCAGACCGAAGTTTGTCACTGAACAAAGAAAATGTCCCATTCTACGTGCACACTGGCGCTAATTTAAGGCCAGATTTCACTGCCAGTGTGTGAGGAGGGGAGGTTGCTACAAGGAAATAGTTCACTCAGAATTACGGTTGGAAACAAGGGAAAAGGATTTCCACTTTGCTCAAACAGGCAGAACAAACTGCAGCTGAAGGGGCACGTTGAGTGCCAGGGCAGAATTGAGCTCAACAGGCCAGGCTGAATTTGAGCTAACCTGCTTCGTTTCAGTGAGGGCTTTACAATCAAATCATGTAAGCCTTGCTATTTGTGCTATCTGCGAGAATCTACTGGGACTCCAAAGCAATCAAAAATAAAGCAACAGGTTTTTGAACAAATGACTGGAGGCAGTGCTTAAAAACTGAAATCAAAAACTGAGGTTCAAAGCACATTCCACATGTGAACAGGCAGGAATATCCAACTAGTGTAATGGGAAAGAGATAACAATACCACAGACATTTTCTGTTCCTGCATATAAAATGTGAAGAACCGAAAGACAGACTTTTCCCTAAGATTGCTGGGAATTTTATTTTTATTATTTTTGTTTTTTGAGAATATAGAATTAATAAAACCTTGCTGGAAAAACACACACACACANAAAAAAAAAAAAGAGAGAGAGAAGGAGAGACAGGATCATGTGAAGACATGATAAGACATTCTCAATAGATAAGCTTGATTTGAAACAGGAAGGCACAGGCCAGTCTAGCAAAATGTAGCCAGGACTAAGGAAAAGAAAGACACACAGAAAGATTGAGAAAGAAATTAAGAAATTAAAAAGTTAAGAAAGGAAGAAAGTGAAAGAAAAAACTTGCAAATCCTAGAGCTGTTCTTTAACGTTCATAACAACACTGCCAGTCAATGCAATCTCACTGAACTGAAGCAGCGTTAGTTTTCCTGCTTGTAAGACAGTGGAAATTCCACTTACTCTACTCTGCCTATCAAGTTAATGCTTCAAGATACACTCAAGCATGTTCCAAAACAAAGGAAATATATTTCTTTGTATCTTTGCCGCCTTGAGCAAGAGCATATATTAGCTGGTTGTTCTAACATTCTGCAAGATAACGTTAGGCTAATCCCTCAGCAGAAGTTCAAAGCAATAAAAGCAAAATGATGGCCCTAATGTAAGTGATGTATCACTTGAAATTCCTCAAAATTATGGATGCAGTTCCAATCTTTGGAGTTAAATCACTGTAAAAACATTTTAGGACTCCTCGAGTTTACTTCTGGTTTAGCTCAGAAGTGAGTTAGTTAAAACCAAGCTTCTGAAGTCAAAATGAAGAGATTTTCACCAGTTTAAGGAGGTTAAACTCCTTCCTGTAGTTAAACTAATGCTTTATTTTCAAAACCCCCGGTTCCCCTGAATGGCTTTGCTGTCTTTTTTTTGTTTCGTTTTGTCTCTCTTTTTTTAAGCCTTGATCATACATATTATTTTGAGGTTGTGAAAGTAAACACATTTTGAACATGGAGACACAGTGAAACAACAAGCACTCCCCATGCCCACTCAGTCATGCACCGGCTTGCCCTTGGAGCCTCATGCCCTCCTCCATGCCAGCAGAAACATCTCTGCCCTGTAACAGCACTGGTCCTTTGCAAAGACCCATGATCTTGCACAACCCCAAGGCTTCTTTCTGCCTTCTGGGGGAACTTTGTCTTTCAGCCAGGAAGTGGCCTGGGGGCGGTTGCCACTTTGCTAAAGGGGTTTGATGCCTCTCTGTGCAGGCCCAGACCCACGTGATTTCCCAGCCATGACCCACAGCTGCTGTGGAAACTCTGAGTCACTTAGTGCTGCTGAAACCCACAGCAAGAAAAGAAAACTCAGCTTCATCCTAGCTGCACCTAGCTGCAAGGTGGTCCCTAAAATAAGGTGATCAACCCCCACCCCCTTGCCTCTTTTTGAGACTAATTTCTCTGCATATGAAGGCTGGTCTGGGGCTGAAGACAGGCCAGGAGTTCTGGGGAAGCCCTATGGAGTTTGGGAAATCCTGCGGATGGCAGGACACCTTGGTGAAGAGGATAACCTTTGGAGGGATATTCTGCAGGGGAGGAKGATGTTCTTCAGAAGAAAATGATCTGTGAGGAGAGTGGCATTTGGAGGGGCTTGCCCTCTTGGGAAGGTGGATGTCCTTTCGGGAGGARGCGGCCTTGGAGAGGACAACCTTTGGGGAAGATGAAGCTTTTCAGAGGAGCAAAGCCCATGGGGTGGGGGATGCCGTCTCTGAATGAGGGTGCCCTAGTGAAGGAGGACACCTTTTGGAGTGAGGACACACTTTGCGGAGGAGGAGGATGCCCTTTGGAAGGAGATGCCCTTGCAGASGGGCACAGCCTCAGGCGCAGGGAGAGAGCCTCCTTTAGCAGGGGAGAACACCCCTGTGGGCCGTGCACCACACACACAGCAGCCCGCCATGGCCTCCCCACGCCACAAACAACCAGGCCACCAGCAGCACGAGCTGCACCTCCATGAGCCACCCGCTCCTGGGACCGCCGGCGCGGCCTGGCCGCGACAACCCCGGCGGCTCCAACCAGCCCGGCCGGGGGCGGCTCGGGGGGCGGGGCCTCCCCGCCCCTTGCCCCCGCCCCTTGCCCTCTCCCCCTGCGCTCGCGGCGGTTGGCAGCCATTGGCGGCCGTTGGCGACCGTTGGCGCCATGGGSCGGTGGGCGCTGGCGGCCGCGGCGTTGGCGGCGCTGCTCGGCGCGCTGCGGGCCGACACGCCGGCCAACTGCTCCTTCGCGGACCTGCAGGGCACCTGGGAGCTGCGCGTGTGGCGGGGCAGCGGCGGCCGCCACAGCAACTGCTCGCAGCCCGGTGAGAGCGCGGCCGGGCTCGGGGGGCCGCGCGGGAGGCGCGGCGGGAAGGAGCGGGCTTAGCGCCGCTGGCGCTTCCTGCTTAAAACTGCCCACTGCAACGTTTTGCTTTTGCTCTTTTYCTCTTGCAGGAACCGTGGAAAGGAAAGTGGTAGTGAGTCTTCAGAAAYTGGACGTGGCCCAGGACAGCCTGGGCAATTATGGCTTCTTCACTCTGATTTACAACCAAGGYTTTGAGCTTGTGATAAATGACTACAAATGGTTTGCCTTTTTTAAGGTGAGTTAACTTGGTGTTTTCTGCATCGTTGCCTATTGGAAGAACATCCTGTGCTCAGGCTTTACCCTAGTCACTAAAAGCCATAGTGGAATGGTTCATTTGGTTCTCCTTGGCCTGAATAGTGAAACAAATGACATAGTATACAGAAAGACTTGTAAGCCCCTGGGTAGGGAGAAGAGGGAAGGAATAGATATTTATGTTGCACATAAGGCATTTTCTGAGAAATATCACAAATGCTGATGTTTTCCGTTCTGCCTATGCCTACAGTGGTTGAAGGCCTCTGTGAAGTTAAGTTTTGCAATTGCCTGGGGAAAAAAAGATCTTTCGTTTTCTTCCTGGCATCTTAGATCTCATTGAAACATTGTTTTTAATCTTCTTTCTCATTTTGAATTAAATTACTGAAAGACAAGTGCTACTTAGCAGTGTTATGAGTGTGGTAAAGTTATAGTTGCCTTTTTTGTTGTTTTGTTTTTTTTTTTTAATCTTTCCTACAAAGTGTTCTCAGGTACAGGGAAGACATTTCCACTGTAAAGAGACCATCCACTCTCCTCACTGAACACTTCCTAGGAGCTTATTCCGCAGTCATATTCCAAAATACTTTGTAGATCTGTAAGAAATCTTCCTGCTAGTAAAATTAATATTCTTTACAGATGTGCATGGCAAGTTAGCTCAGACGTCAACAGGGTCTGTGAACACCTGCTTCTCTGTTATTTTGTGACCTAATCTTGCCTCTAGTTTTGCATGATCTGGTGCTGGTAAATGCCCAAGTTTAAAACCTCACCCTTGGCTAGTGGCAAGGAGAGAGATGAAATGTTTCTTCCTTCAAATAGGCCTCCTGGGAGCCACAGCAGCTACTTTAAAATTGGTATTTTTGTATGTTAGCAGAAGTAAATGGTACCCTCTCCCAGGAAAGCACTAACCATAGTCTCCCAGGAAAGCACTAACCATAGGAATAATAAATAGTGTATGAGGTTTTGACTTTACTGCAGCTTCCTCCTTGCCTGTCAGAGCCCATTAAGCAGAAGGGAAAGGGCAATTTAAGTGGTTATTTTTTAAGACTTTAACAGTGAAGTTGCTTATGTGCACTTATCACRGAAATTTTTTAATTTAAGATTTCTGCATAAGAGATTCTTGTAGTTAAACAAGAGCGAAGTTTGAGAACACAGACGTTCTTGAATCTCTGCAAGGAAGTGGCACTAACTTATCCTTGTGGGCACTCCTGATTGGATTGGCAGATGATACAAGGAAAAACTGCAAATGCTCTAGACCCACCTGGATGCCATGTGCTCTAGGTGTCCCTGCTGAAGCAGAGGAGTTGGACTAGATTATCTCTAGAGRTTCCTTCCAACCTCAACCATTTTGTGATTCTGAGACTGTTCTAGTCTGAAAGAACTGCCTCTGAAATTTCTCGTGCTGAGACGCTTCCATAATTCCCCAGTGTAGGAGCCCTGCCTCATGAGCAATGAGGTGTTACTGCCTCTCTGAGAGTAGTGGAGCACTGTTTTAAGTGTTTTATGTGTGAACATAGGCCGGTGAACTCCAGCCTAGTGCATCAAGTTTGATGGGTAAAAGACAGAGTCATCAGTCAGTGCTATGTTTGGACTCAGGAGGATAACTGAACCAATAAACTGGGAATCTTCAGATTGCTATTTTATCCTGGAATGCAAAGTTGCCCCACAAACCAAGAAATTGATCAGCTGAGGCAAATTTTGATTATCAAACTGAATCTTGAACACGAGGAATTTAATTGTAGAAGTGACAAGTAGCTTGCTCCAGAAYGCAGAATTGTTTGCCCTATATTGAAGACATTTCAGAGGCCCTGCAGGCTTCGTTGCTGGCATGTATCCATTGCAAAATTAATCCCCAGAGGTTCAGCACTGACTAAGTGACTGATAAGCACTAAGATGATATTCTGTTCTYTGCAATTGAAGAGTGCTAAATGCATTGCTATGCAAGAGTGCTATTAAATAATATATGTTGGAGAAAATTTCTAGAGATCATGTAATCCATTTTACCATTCAGGCATATATTTGACTCATTCTGTTTTGAACAGCAAAAATGCAGGATACCCTGCTTATAAATGTCAAAAAAAAAAAATGTCTTCCATCATTTTCAGTTGAGTGGTTTCATCATTAGTTTTGCAGTTGATTTTGGAAAACATAGGAAGTCAGACTTGTGAGTAGCRGGGATTGCATCAGCAACTCACTTAAATTAAAAATATCTTTCCTCAAAGATTGCACAAGGAATATGGCCCAAGTCATATTGGCCCTTTYTGTAAAATCTCTCCTTGATGCTGTAAAGAAGATTACAGATTATGAAGGTGCAAGTATAATGGCTGAAAAGCACAGGAAAGTGCCCCATCATTTAATAAATACCTTGTTCCCCATCCCCACCCCTTCAAACTACTAGATGACTTTCTTAGGTTAGAACTTGATGTTCATCTGTAAAACTGTTAGTTTCACAACAGTCAGAGGGGCATGGAGGCAAAGAAATGATTCCTTATAGCCACTTAACCTTGCAATGTGTTTAGGTAGGCACATGTTTGCTTGTAGCCCAGTAAATATTGGATGACATGTGAAGCTGAACTACAAAATCCTACAAAATGTGCGCTCATGATATAGTAAACTATTATTATGGTTCCTTCAAATGCCGTTAGCACTCTTCTAGGACTTATTCCACCATCTTCTACTGCAGATCTTGGCGGAAAAATGTTATACTCAGCCAAGTGCACRTTTCTGAGGATTTTTGAGGAATGATAGTCTATTGCCTAATACCCTTTCAGGTGCAATTGGTAATTGCATTATCACAGACTTAGTTTGCTTGGTGTTGGTCATAATTTAGAAGCCCTCAGGAGTTATATAGAGTGGACAGGAATTCTAATTAGAGTGCTGTGTGCTTCCCTGGAAAGGAGCAAGAAGAAACATAAAAACAAGAGTATTGCTTAGCCTAGAGCACTACTTAGAGTATGAGAAACTATTAGATGATGTCTCTGGTATTCATGGAAAGGAAAAATAATTATCCRTGCGTGTCTTCCAGGTCAGATGATTTAGAGCAAGAAGGTGTAGAGGCATATATATATATTCATACAGAGGTATTGTCTATGATTTTGCCACTTCTTGAAGTTCTTCAGCATTACTCTGAAATAATTTTCCAGTGTTTCGGAGGTATCACTCAATTCTGGAATGACCTATCAGTTCATGTTGCAGTGTGTAGTGTGGTTGCTGGGAAAAAAAAAAATGGTTTTCTTTCTAGTGGATTGCGCCAGAAGAGCAAAGTTGTTTATCCTAGCAAAATTTCAGCAAATTAAACTGCTTACCACTTTATGAATATTATATAATAAGTAGATAGGAAGCAAAGCTTTAAAATTGTATCGTACTATATTCTTTATGTTCTCTGCTCTTCTGTACGAGGCTTACAAGTATCAGAGCAACAATATGGAAGGGGTCTTGCATGTCTTGTGCCACATAGTTGTGAATTTTGGCTTGTCAGGAAGGTGTTCATGCTCATAAAGTTCCAGTAGTGTTTATGTTGCAGTAAGGGTAAATTCTGTGGCTAAAGCCCATGTGGGCTGTCAGGACACAAGAACATCCTATTTCATCTACTAGGAGCTTTAACATCTTTTTCAGGTACTGCAATCAAACTGAGACTAAGCTACTAGGCTAAATGAACAGCAGTATTTTAGATAATATTTTTACTCTGCTCCCAATGTGAAGGGTCAGTTGGTATTAACTGAACTGGCATTGCATTTTTACTTAAAGAGGCAAGGTACTGGCTGCTAGGAGGAGTGTTGTTGGTCTGTCCAAATTGTGATTTTAACAGAGTCACTGTGTTTTCTGGGTGTAGATACAGGCCGTTAGATTAAAAAGAACCCACTGAAATTTACATTAGTAGYTTCTTGTTTTTCTAACCTACTTACTAGTCACCCCCTAAAGTTTTCTTAGGACCCTGCTGACTTTAAAGTTACTTGTTCTTATACCTGGAACTGTGGGGAAATAGCTTCCTGCAGCGAAGGGATGGATTAGGTGAGTGTATTGATATTTCTTTTTTCCTCTCCTAAATTTGCTTTAATAATTTATATGAATAATCCTTAGCAGTTTTTATTTCTGATTTGGGAGATTGAATTAGATCTCTAGAGGTTCCTTCAAATTTCTTAACCATTCTGTGTGGTTCTGTAGTCACTTTTTAACATAGACTTCTCTCTGTGGGCTCCAGAAATTAAATAGAGCATCYTACTTCATTCTTGCATTGTTGCTACTTGTAACAAGGAGAAGTTGCTCTGCTCTATATTTGGTTTGCATCACAAAAGACCAACTTGGTTGCTGTTTATGCGGGAACTTGTTTCTGCTCTTTATTTAATGTGTAGTGGTAGTTAGGCAGGGGACTATATGTGGATAAAAAGTGAGTCAGCAGAAGCTTGATTGTGTGCTTCTGATGATGTTTTAAGGATTCTGTAGGCCTAAACATGATAGAAGGCTTTCCTCGTGATGGCAAAAAAAAAGATGCATCAGCAGCTAGAGTGAGACTAGAAGGAAAGCTGAAGCTTAATTATGTGATTTGTCTGTCATATTTAATGTAAAATTATAACTTCAGAAGGAATTGATCATTTCTTGTTTTTTAATAATATTTATCCCGTTTAAGGGATAAAGCTTAAGGGGTGCTTTTTCTGTCCTTTGAGATGTCATATAGCAAAAAGAGTTGGGCATTTTGCACATTGCCACTACTTTGGATCAAAGAAAGAATTTGATTGTAGAGTATTCCCCTACTGAAGTCACAGAGCTTTTCCTGGCTGGCTTGGTGATATCTCACTCTTGTTTTTCCTCTTTCCCAGCAGAYCCAAGTTACGGCTACCATTTCCTTGCTGCAATAACCAACCTTGACAATTGGCAGTATCAAGGCCTAGGTTTCAGCATGTTCTATATAGACTCTGAATGCAATTTATTCAGAGCTGTTCATGCTATTTAATTCTGCTTGTCAATTGGAAGTTGATTTCAAGTCTGTCCTAGTTGGACTTGGCTAGCAAGATGCATTTGCAATTTCTTTCCCTGCAGTGTAAACTTGAAAGCATAAAYCACTGTACTGCAGAATGCTTTCTTCAACAAAACAAATGCATCTGTAGCTGACTTGCATTTTGYATTTGCTTGCATTTTATATCAGATAAAAAAATGCAGTGACTTGTTCGGATAATCTCATYTACTATAATTTAGCACTGCAGAGCACCCAAGTCTGTAATCCTAYTCAAATTAAGAATGTGCTTCCAAATTGAAATGCCTAAGCACATTTGTAAACTTAATGGCAAATGAGAGGCACATCTTTCCGACAGATTTAATGTATGTGGCAGTCCCTGCTCCTAGAACTTGGGTTTGCTTAAATCAGGAACAATAGGTATATAAGGTGATGGGGTAGCAGCTGCTATAGAAAGCATTACTAAGTTTGTTGTATTTGTGTCCGATAAGGTCTCTGTGCCCTTCTTGCTTACCTAAAGAGATTAAAAATGTAAAAACTTTAAAGAGCTATTTCTTCTAATGAAGGTGCAATTAGATTTGTTCATAATAACCTGCTCTTGGGAAAACTTTGGTACAGTTTAACAACAACAAAAAAAAAAACACATTGCCAAGCATAACTTGAAGTCTGTTGCAAATATTTACTTTTAAGGTTAATCTTTTCAAGTCTCAGAGCATGAACTGGAAATGTAGCTTGTAGTTTCTGCAGGAGTTATTGCAGTTTGGTTAGGTGCTTGGTTAGGGCTTACCTAATTGCTGTGCATGCAAGAATTTCATCAGCCTGCACTCGTGTGTGGCCTAACCACAGTTGTCTTTTATTGCTTTAGTCATTGAAACCATCATCATAAGATTAACTGCAAAGGAAATGCATGCAGCAGTTGTCCAACTGCCCCTGCTGTTTCCCTCCATGGCAGGAGACTGCTCTGCAGTGCATGGACATGATTGCGTGCAGGCAGCTCAGCTGGTTTTCATTCACTCTGGCATGTTAATGCAAAACTTTGAGTCAGTGGTGGTTCAGGAGTGGTATGACACGGAACTGGTGCAGCTGATGTGTTGGTCACATCCCTGTGTGACTGTTGTTTGGGGAGGCAGGTCACTAGAAACAGTACAGTCAGACTTGCCAGATCTACTCTGTCACAGCCCTTCTCTGGTCACAGGAAGTACTGTGTGTATTTTTGTACTGAAATACTGATTTGATGTATGCCCTCTTGGTCATAAGCAGTCTGTACCTGTTGTCACTTTTGTGTGTAGTGTATATATATGTTGTCACTTTTGTGACAACAATTTGTGATGCTATTTTGTTTCCTCTACATATGACTTGCTAGGTATTTAACACATATGTAGAAGTTAAGCATAAGTTTTTGGAGGTGTGTTTTTTATTTTTAGAAGTCATAGTCAGGACATGGGAAGCAAATTGGAATTTAATTTGCAGTTAGTTGCTGAAAATGCTCAGAGTTCCCCATTTCCTTCAACTAGATGTTATTAATAGGCTGTAGTCTCAAAGTCCTAGTTTTTCCCTTTTAAAGCAATTTAGTAACATTATGTTATCTATCATTCTGCAAAAAGATAGCTACTGAACTTTGGGGGATTGCTTGAATTGAACAGACTGGTTGAAAGTGGGTTTTTGTCCTTTACTGTTTATCTTAAAGTATTGCCCCTGAATTCCTCCTTTGTAGCTCAGGCTGTGTGTGTGAACTGACAGAACACAATAAAAAGAATATTGAATTCATTTGCCCCCCAAAATAGCCTATAAAACTTATGTGAATAGTCTGTCTTAAAAGTGCAAGAAGCCTAAAAACGGAAAAGGAGGTTTCTTGGCAGCAGGGGAAGGAGGGAAGCTGGTTTCAGTTAAAAAAAAAAAAAAANCAAGGTGCTGAGTAACAGGTATCTCATTACCTATTTTTCCGTAAATGTAAGTCCCAAATGTGTCCCACTCGTTATATATCAATGTAATCTCTTGTGCTAGTCAGGGTCTCCATCTGAATGTTGTAGGAAGTAGGCCTATTTTTTGAGTATCCTATGGTATCAAGTATTCATGTTCAAGGCAGATACTGATCAAGAAACACTGTGCTTGGACTTGTGTTAAACTRTGACAGCTGGACTTGTGTTAAACTGTGACAGCTTTTAGAAGGATAGGTAGGTGTTCATTTATAGTTACATGGAACCAAATACAATGTTCTCACTATGACTTATTGTAAGGTCAGTAACTTTTTGCTCATGTTAGTGTCTACATTTTCAGTGCTATTGCAAAGAAAGAAATGGACTTGTCCTTGGTATTTGGAAGAGTATAGTTCTTTCCTGCATTGTGCAAACTTATTTTGAGCTAGATGTCTTTGATATTTTTCTTAGAAAATAGCTTGTTAGTTGATACCAATACTAATGCCTGCTTTGTTGCTAAAAAGTATAAGCTGCAACCTGATTGTTGTAGCAAGTTGTTAGGGATCTGTTTTTTATACACATAATACTCTTTTTTTTTTTTTTTTTCTTAATCTTTATTTGTTTTCCATTTGAATGTGATGCCATTTGAGCTAGAGGCCACCAAGTGGCCTCTGAAGTGCATACCAAGAAGCAGCTGGGTGGAATAGGGACTACAGCTATGCTAGCAAATGTCTCTGTTCTAAACAAGTATAACCTCTTTACACTGCAGTACAAAAAGGAAGGCCAGAATGTGACCAGCTACTGTAATGAGACTCTACCTGGATGGGTACATGATGTACTTGGGCACAACTGGGCTTGTTTCAGTGGGCACAAGATTTCTTCCGCTTCTTCAGATGTTCATACAAACGAGCTGCCTTTCCAGAAACCTAGAGGAAGGTAAGTCAACAGATGAGTGGCTTGTCACTGAAATAAAACTTTTGGTAACTTTGCCTCAAGATTTATCCTAAACCCTGCAGACTAGTTTTGTGACTAGTTGAACAAAGTTAATACATTTGACCTGTATTATATGAAAGAGACCAGATTTGTTGCATTGTGAGAGCAGGAAGCTCTTCCAGRCTGTAATGCGTGATATTTCAGTTTAATCCCCAGCACTACCAGCATGTCCAAGGACAGGGAAGGATGTGCCTGCTCCTTCAGTCTCTTATTTTCAGCGATTTCTGTTAAGTCTGGTTGCARTTTCTGTTAGTCTGGTTGCTAATGTGACATTTCTAAAGGGGGCGATTGTATCTTTCTAGTTAAAGGCTGATTCAAATGCCAGGAGTCTAGCCTTGGATCCGATTACTGTATATCTCTTTATTAGTACCTACTGTAAGACTCTTTTCAGAATTAATACTGTTGACAAATATCATCTTCATATTTAGTTTGGAGAGTAGTGTATATATATCTTTTTCTTCAATCTCAGTCTTTCTGTTATTGTTTTGTTTGATTTCATTTACAGACTTTCAAGCAGACGTTATGTGCACAACTTTGACTTCGTAAATGCTATCAATACTCTCCAGAAGTCCTGGAGAGCAACAAGGTATGAAGAATATGAAAACCTAGCCCTGGAAGAGCTAACCAGAAGAAGTGGGGGTCTCTATTCCAGAGCTCCAAGGTACGAAGGCCTCTTGCTTTGCTCTAGACCCTCAACACTGCCACAAAGATGCTACTGTTTGTGCCAGCTCTTGCTAGCAGGCTTTTTGATTTGTGATTTGGATGAGTAATCATGTTTCAAGCTATTCTGGCTAATGTTTATGGAGTACCAATCTATTTCACTGTTTGTATGACTGTCCTAAGCATCTGTTATCTCAAAYAGCTGAGATGAATAAGGTCATTCGGCTTCTCATCATATGTGCAACAAAGAGGAGCAGTCTCAGTTCCTGTCCTGCACACCTGTGTACCTACCAGCTATTTGCCGTAGCCATAAGTTACCTTGGTTCAGCTAATTCATATTTTCAGTTAAAAAGCAGTGAAGCACATTTCCCTATTAAATATGAAGAGTGAAGATTTTCTGAGAGAAGCTCTTGGTTACTACAGCAATTTGTTTAGCCAGTGACCGGGGTCCCTTCCTCACTAGAGCAGAGTGGTGTGTCAGCTCTTTTGTAAAGTACTGTGAAGCAGCCCTCAAAGATTATTCTTTCATGTGCATGGTCGTCTTTTGCATCAGTAGTCTGAGAACTAAGAGCTGTTTCATCTGAAATTTCCCTTCTTGAATGCAATTTTACTTTTGCTTACCCCACCCCCTTGGCCTTTAACCTGATGCAACTTTGTGTAGGAATGCCACTGGCCTTTTCAAATGGCAACAATTTTATGTTTGCACAAAAAAACTTTTAATCAAAATTTCAGATCTATGTATGAGTATTATATAAACTATCATGGCTTCATCTTACAGAAAAATACTTATTAGGATACAGTAGCTAATGCATAAATCCGTTTGGAAGCGGACAGTGTACAGCATCATAACAGTATCTTGTCCTTCCATCTGCTCRTGCTTTATTAAGAGGCAACATAGCTGATGTCTGTGGAACAAGCATTGGATCACATGGATGCTTAATGCAGGATTCTCCTGACTTGCTGATGTATATAAGCATTGCTTGGCTGMAAGTGGTAGAAGAGGATTAGTAGCATTCAAAACTGTTTAAATAGTCACAGTGAAACTTGCTCCAGGGAAATCTTCTGGGGAAGTGGAACTACAGTTATTGAAGTGTTGATGTAAACCATGTAACTGTCTGTGTCTGCAATTAAAGTCTTTAGTTGCTGTCAGTGCATGCTGCCAAGGCAAGGTGCCTTCTGCAATCATAGATACCTTGCATATTTTATATTAGCAGAGAGGCAAAATAGCTCTTGGGGAGTTTTCCGCTGCAGTCAGCGAGTTACTTCAGCACTTTAAATTAGTTGAAAAGTATTTCAACCTGACTAGTTTGAGTGCTTCATAATATGGTTCCCTCTTGAAGGGATTTGAAATTCAGCATTCTACTGAAACTAATCTCTTGAGATTGATACCCACTCAGCATAGATGGAGACTATTTGAAATTGTGTAGCATGAAACGAAGCAACCAACAGAAGTCAGAAGATACTGATAGTGTAGTGTTTTGTTTTGTGTGTTTTGTTTTGTGTGTTTTGTGTTCTGTTTCCTTCCCTGGTGTGTCGTGTGTTATTCAAAGTGTATTCTCCTTTTTAGACCAAAGCCTGCACCCATAACACCGGAGTTGCTCAAAAAAGCTTCAAGCTTGCCGGAATCTTGGGACTGGAGAAATGTGAATGGTGTCAATTATGTCAGCCCAGTTCGGAATCAAGGTAAAAATTCCAAACTCTTTGAATGAAATTGTCGAGAGCTCCTTTGTTGTATTCTGTAGCTTGCTGTTAACATGAAAGCTTTCCATCCCACCTTGCCCTTGACAGATTGTATTTTTGCTAGGAGCACCCTGTGGAAACCAGGTGGGTTCTGGCTGGCAATGCCATGTGAAAATAGAAGGTGATACTGGTTTATGCAAACAGCCCTATCTTTTACTGGACAGAAAGCCAATTACTACAGTGCCATGCATACAGCCAGTAAGTTTTGTCCGGTCTCAGTCATGGCTGTCTGCACACTGACGGAACTGACATATAGTTGATTCTTCCAGTAATTCTTGTTGATGGCAAATTATCAGATAGCTTAAAAGTATTCTGATGGGTTTATTTTTATACTATTCTCAAATTTCATCAGTCCAATAACTTTAGGACTGACTTAGATGACTAGCTGTGAAAGGAGGTATTGAGTGTTATGAACAGAGTATGTACTGATAACTACTCTCCAAACCACCTTTTCCTGCAGTAGGGAAATATTTAGCTCAAAGTAGACCTAGGAGGATACAATTTTAGTGTATGTTTATGTCTCAGTGATGGGTGCTATTACAGCATGTGGTGTAAGAAATAYACTTTTGAATTAGCTAGCTCCATCCTAGAAACCAGATGTGGATTCAGTTAATATATCACTTCTCTACCATTTCTGAATAAATTTGCCTCTTTGTTAGCTTTCCAGCTAAAATAAATAAATAAATAAAGGTACCAGCTAGGTTTTTRGTAGTAGAAGGTGCATAGGAGTGTTATAGGAATTGTAGCTCACAAGTTGTCACCTCATATCACTTCACATCATGAAAGATGTCAGCAAGAAGTTACGTAGTCCTGCATAGGTACAGGTCTTGGACCAGTACTTTATTCTGATGTGAACCATGGATTCCAACAGCCATTTTGCCCAACTAAAGGAACACTCGATATTCATACTGTTTTTAATTGTTTCAAGCATCCTCTAAATGAGGAATGGTATGTTGCTTCCGTTAATAACGCCACCTATACTTTTTATGTAATCAGAGCATCTAAGCTGTATATGTTAAACACAGAATATTCGTTCTGTGCTGTTACATAGGAATTTTGTTTTCTTTTGAAGAAAACCCAAAATTGATTTTAAATGAAATGGTACTGTCGTAACAACTAAGTTTTGCTTATTGTAGCTTGTGTGATTTGCTGAGGCACTGGATACCGATGCTTAATTAAAACGATGGGRTTGAGATTTTTTGTTATACATACAAGTTACTTCTGAATAGAAAATGCCACGGGGAAGAAGGCCATAAACAGTATGATGCAAGTTGTCTGGTCTGTGTGGAGAGAATTGTATAAACWGGAAGATCATGCTTTCACAGATCTCTTGCATCCTTTTGGAGGTTCTAAGACTATCTCCTAGTCTTAGAACATCTCAAGAGAAATTCATCTGAAGCGCTTGAGAACTACAAAGAATCTACACTTTTCCTTTAAAATACCTTGAGGTGACAGGCTTCATGCAGCTAAAGTTGTTTTTGATTTAATTCACTGATAACGTGTTAGGATCACTGCTAGCATATCCTATACCCAGGAAAGCACAGAGTTAAGTTCAAGTTGTTTATAATGCAGTGACTGCATTACAGTAAAGCAAGCCTCAGAACCAGAAGGAAACAGAGTTAGCAAATTCTGAACTTCTGAGAGACAAAGAGATGTTCTTTGAAGATGCAGGCTTGTCATTGCTTGTAATCAGCTTTGCTGTCTGTTCCAATTACTGACTCCTGTGAGCTTTCTGTGGAGATCAAAATAGGTAGAAAGACTGGACAGAAGGTTCTTTTCCAAGTGATCTGTGTCCTATCGTTACTGCTCATAACATAATGATCTCATTCTACAGAGTCATTTGAATCTAATGCAGCTGAAGCTTTAATTGACACTAGAAGAGCATTTGCAGGAAGCCACGGAAATGCAATTATGCTGGTTCTCTCTTGAAAGTTAAAAATGTACCTATTGCATTAAAAACCTCTCATGTACCACAGCAGTGAGGGCAATAGTGAGACATCTCAGCATGTTCACTGTTTGCAGAATGAAAAGGTTGCATTAATTGTATTTTTTGACTTCCATTTTTTTTTGCATACAATGCTGAGAAAGGGGCATGGCTAATCTCAGATGCTGAGTAGGAGGCACCTTTTGCAATTTCAGTCAGCCCTGCTGGGCAAAGTATTCATGTACCAGCTGGTTTTGCCCCTTCTTTTCAGAGATACATCTAACTGAGGGAAGGTATAATTTCAAAGTCCTACTTTTATAATAACTCTGGTTTTATACACCCACACAGTTCAGTAAAAGTATTTTGTTTTGTTCAAGCTGCCCTCTTTTTCATAGCTCTGCAATATTGGACTTACCTGCTGTCAGGAAACATAAAGGAACTGGGCACCTTGGTGACAACCAGTAGATAAAGTCGTCTAAGTAATTGTCCTTCCCTGTGATGTTTGCTGTTCCACTTTGAAAGGTTCTTACTGTGTTACTGGAAATTTGCAGGAAGTAGAGAGGCATAAAAATAAGAAGCAAACCTTGCACCAAAAGTAAGGGGAATAATGAGTAAGACAACAGGAGTCAGACAGCAGAATTGGAAACTGCTTTTGAAAAGCCAATGTACGATTAAGCCCCTTTGGGAAGTAAGGGGAACAGGGAYGAAACCACTACATTAAACCTACCATTTAAACTCTTTGAGTTATTTTAGAGGTAGTTATGCAAGTAGTTTTATTTATTATAATATAGGTGCACTGATAAATTTAAACTATGTAGAGCAATATTCACAGCATTAATTTAAAATAGTTCACTGCCTCATGGCAGCTTGATTCTGTAAAAGATTGTAATCTGAGATGGGAAGTTATGAGCTTTCTCTGCCCTGTACCTGTATGCTCATTCTCAAGAGGGAACATAACTCTTAAATGATACAACTACGATATATTGAAGAGCCATATAGCATATAGTCTATTGTTCTGGAATAAACTCGGTGTTACTTAAAAAGCTTCTAAGATTTTATGTGTTTTAAATACGATTGCCTGCGTGCATATTTAAAGAAGTGGTGTGTTTTGTGTTTTTTTTTTTTCTTTTCCTCCCCCTCACTGAGTGTGTAACTTCTGATTCCTGAAAGCCAGTGTGTTACTTTCTGCAGTGGATTTGCATAATATTTGCTTCATGTGGAGGTGACATTTCTTATTCTTTTTTCTTCCTTCTCTCCTCAGCCTCATGTGGCAGCTGCTATGCCTTTTCTTCCATGGGTATGCTGGAAGCAAGGATACGTATCCTAACAAACAATACTCAGAAGCCAGTCTTTAGTCCGCAGCAGGTTGTGTCTTGCAGCCAGTATTCTCAGGGTAAGTACACTGGTATAGAAAGATTGAAACCAAATATCCTGAAGCATGTGGGGAGGAAGGATGGCAGAAAGAGCAAAAGCAATGACTAAGGCTCTTTGAAGGATAATATGCACACTATGACTTTTTTATCCATGTTCAGCTGATTGGTGAACATGATGTGTTTTTGGGAGCAAATGGAGGTGGTCCTTGCGTTATAGTCTTCCCACTATGGCTCTCCTGTGATGAGCAGATGTGTTTTGTGTGGCTATAACTAATATGGAATATTAAAGTTGCCTGAATAGCTTTAGTTGGTTTTCAATACTGTGTCCAAAAGTGTTACAGAAGATTTGAGTGGGAAAAGCTCCCATGTCAAAAATAATCACCAATGGTATAACAAGATATTTTGTCTGTTTAGGGTGCGATGGTGGCTTTCCATACCTCATTGCTGGAAAGTATGTCCAAGATTTCGGCGTTGTGGAAGAGGACTGCTTCCCTTACACGGCTGAAGATTCTCCATGCACTTTCAAGCGCAACTGCTATCACTATTACTCTTCTGAGTATCATTATGTTGGTGGCTTCTATGGAGGCTGCAATGAAGCCCTGATGAAACTTGAGCTTGTTCTGCATGGGCCAATGGCTGTTGCCTTTGAAGTTTATAATGATTTCATGCTCTATAAAGAGGGAATCTACCATCACACTGGGCTGCAGGATGACTTCAACCCTTTTGAACTGACCAATCATGCTGTCCTGTTGGTGGGCTATGGTAAAGACCCAGAAAGTGGTGAGAAGTTCTGGATTGTGAAGAACAGCTGGGGCACCTCATGGGGAGAGAATGGCTATTTCCGAATCCGCCGTGGCACTGATGAATGTGCAATTGAGAGCATTGCAGTGGCTGCAACTCCTATTCCAAAGCTATAAATGCAAAGATCCTCATCCAGTGCCTTGTCTGAGAAGCAAATCTCCAGCTGTAAAAACATACTGATTGTTAAAAGGGACTACAGCTCACATCTGTGCCCTGTCTTAATCGAGGGAGCTTTAAGAATTTTTCCAGAACAGGGGAAGCAATTTCTCCAATGTTAAGTGTGCACATTGGATAGCTTGGCTCTGAACACTGTGGACTTTTTTTCTGGAGTCTGACAGTAAATCATCTAGARTGCAATTGCCATTACAGTAACAGTGGTGATCGCTCCTCATCACTGAATATAAATCCTCAGTCAGCAGTTGCATTTCTTCCATGGATAACTTTGAACTTTAGATTTCATAGTTTATCATAATAATGGCTTCTCCATACTCTAAAAGGACACTGTAGTGCCTTCTCAAAATCAGGAAATTACTGCTATTTAAAATGTAAGTGTGCATGTGGGTGAGGGAATAAGCAATTATACTGATTAAAAGGAAATTTGTAAGGCTTCAAGCATTTAGCAAAAACYGCCTCTCAGGCCCTTATGACCGTAAAAATTGATTCTATATCTTGAACTGATACTGGATGTTTCTGGTCTGGATTTCATCACTCTGCTTTGTAATTAATTACCTCACAGTTCAATAAAAGTTACCTAACTCCTATAGGAGTTAATCTGTACGAACACTTGGTTGTTTATTTCTGTGACCTGTTCCAGATTTCGAACTTCTTGTAAGTTTTGTTGAGAGCTTCGCTTTAGTAGGATTTAGGGTAATGAGGAAGGACAATGAGGAAAGAACCAGGAATAATACAACTGAGGCCAAGCTTTTTTACAGCAACACCAAGCAGATTGTGTTGCAAAGTAGTAGTCTTTGTTGTAAATATAGATCAATTCGTTAAGTAAATTGGCTAATTCCCCAATAATCATGCTTAAACCCTCTGTTCATGCATTTCAAKTATGCAAGGTAGAAGGATGGAGTTAGAGAATTGAATTACTGCAGTTTCAAATGGGGAGCTCTTTCTTTCTAGATAAAACTGAAATGTAACAGGGGACTTGGTTAATGCCACACCGTATTTGCAGTTCTTTGCATGAATGAGTAATAAATGTGTAAGCAAAAGTTGAGATCCAACTTCATGGATAGGAGATAGATATTCCAGTAACTGTCTTTTAATGTAGCAGTAGTACTAGTTAGTATTTTACTGTAATGAGATCTCCTTTTTTGGGATGAGTGGGGTTTCCGTTCTTAAGGAAGTCAAAAAGAGCTAGTTGACAATTTGTAATTGAATATGCTTTTTAACTTAGCTGGGTAAATTCCCAATCTGGGAATTTCCAAAAAAAAAARRAAAAARWAAAAAAAAAAAARMTGACTCTTATTTGCTCAAGTTGAGGGATATGTGATGATTAACTTCATATCTGAGTGATCTCTCCCCACCATTCTTCCCCCCCAAAAATACCAAACTTTATTTGGAAACTTGTGGTTTTAGCTGCTTCTGCAGGTGGAATTTTAATAGGAATTTCCAAAATAGCTTATTCTGTGCACTAGATCTCTTTAGCTGAGGGAATTGCCAGGGGAACGAAGCAGCAGACAACTTGTTTTCTTCCTACTCACTTTATTCAGTGTTGCTGCAAAACTGGATTCTGTCCTAGGAGGACTTAACCTTTCCAAAGTGGTTGTAGTCCACCGTGAAGACACAAGGCCGGGGCGGGGGGTGGGTTTCTCCCATACACCTGAATATGCTGCCTGAAATGCACAACTGCATATGCAACATTTTTTATATTTTCCTTTGCCTGTGACCTCTTGCCTCTTCTGTTTCCCAAACACACGATCTTGGAGCGGTGGAGAGTATTGCTGGAGTGGGAGAGAAAATACTGCTTTTTTTTTTTTTTTTTTTTTTTTTTTTTTTTTTTTTTTTTTTTTGAAGTGGGGAGATGAATTGTAAGGGTGTTTCCTTCCCCAGAAAGTGGGGGCTTGGCTAGTTTATGTTGTGTTATCATGTCTAATGATAGCATGGTATTTCATGTGCTGATGAAGCAATTCTGAGGAGGCCACCACCACTCTATAGTCAGCCATTGACTTGATTTATATGAATAAAACTGAAGCTGCTTGAAACAATGCAGTCTGGTATGGAAGAGTTGATGCCTTTGTTGTAGAAGATGAGATTGTGTGTGGTATGGTGCCCTACCAGCAGCATCCTTTCTACCTATGCTGCAGTTACATAGCTTGAAATAATTTGGATAATGTTTGCAATATATAAGTAGTCATGTTGACTACTTATACTTGASAGTGTAAAGCTGATCTTGTGCATATGGGTGTTCTCCAGGCTTGTCCTTCCACACTGTGAGTGCCTGTGGCTTCCACACATGGTTGCAATGTTCTGTGAATGTCCCATGCATCAGCATCAGAACAGGAACATAAAACTGTCATTCTCACTGTTTTTGCAGTCCTTCAGCCATTCAAAAATGGGATCTTATTTGATTTATTATCGCCAAAATGCTACTTACACTCAAGGCAGTGCTAATACAGAAAGACAAACTGTTTGCTGTATCATATTAGTGGCATTAGCTTTTAAATAAGATTTTATTTTATTATGTTAAAAAATCATGTCTCTGACTACATTCCTGTCAAAGCTATTGTGTGTCAGCTGTATTCGTGCTAAGGTAAGGATGAGATATTAACATACACTGTCTTGGCTTCTAAACTTTTATTTCAGATGGAAGGCCAAATGCAGAAAAAGTCCATCGTGCAGCTACAGCCTAGAGGCATAAAAAAAGAGTCCRGAAACTTGGCTACAAGGGAGCACAGAAGATTCTGCATGTAAACTGCTGCTCACAAGATGGGGCTCTGCAACTTTGGTTCACCTATTATGAGAGGCTATAGGGTATATCCAGGGTACTTTCTACCTGTAAGCCAAGTGTCCCTGCAGTGAGGAAGAAGCAGGAGATAACAGCATGCAGGGAACAAGTAGGAGCGCATTCTATTAAGTTTATCCAAACAAGGTTAATAGGTAGTGTCACAGTTGATAAATAGTTACAGAAGCAGCATAGCTGGTAATCATCCCAGCAAACAGACATTAAAAATTCAGTGTTTTGAATTTGAGTTCATATAGCAGATAAATAAACAATAGCTGTCTAACAGCTACCACGTTGCTAAGRACTGTTAAGGTGGTGAATTCTCCATCTCTGGAGTAAGGTCCATCACTGGAAGTTGGGAGTTCTCTAGATCTCTTTGCCCTTAAAACTAGAATTACTCACCGAAATCTGTTTGGTTTATAAAGAAAATCAGATCAGATGATCATGATTCCTTCTTCTTTGAAATATAAGGTGATTTGACAAGACTTTGCTCAGGAAATCAAYGGCATTTAAATCTTAGAATAACATAATAGTTAAGGTTGGAATGGACCTCTGGAAATCATCTAGTTCAAGCTGCCCCTGCACACACAGGGTCACCTAGAGCATGTGGCACAGGGCTGCATCCAAGCGGGTTTGGAAGATCTCCAGAGAAGGAGATTCCACAACCTCTCTAGGCAGCCTGTTCCAGGGCTCTGTCACCCTCATTGTAAAGAAATTTTTCCTAAAGTTCCTGCGGAACTTTTGGTGCTTCAGTATTTTGATACTTTAAGATAGTTAAGTAGTTATTTTTGCCAGTTTGTGTGTTAAAGGGAGAGTGAGACAAACACTACCAGTCAGATCTTAAGTGACCTGAATAACTGAGAGGTGCCAGCCTCTCTTGTGTATGTCAGAGCACAGCCTCWCTGAAGCCCTCATTTACACCACTTTGGAGTAGAGCAAAAGCACTTTAACTGTAAAATAAAAGGTATTAGCTAGGATAGATCGTCCTAGCACCCTTGTACCCAGACTGATTGGCATCTAACTCTGGTTTCCCCCCACAGCAGTGCACTATACAGGTAGATAGTTTTTTAAGTGCTCTCAAAATATGGCTCTCAATCTAACCAGTGGCTASCAGGAAAGCATAAGTGCATTAAAAAAAAAATCCTGGAGTATATGGGCGGTGTGATAACCAAATAAAAGTGGGAGCTTCTACTCCAATATAAAATATTAACAGGTACTTGACTACCTATTCTGAGTAAGAGGTTTTAAGTAAAAAGGCCTGCACTCTTCGTCAGAAACACAGGATAAATTGTGTTATTAGAAGAAAGTGTCTGAGTTCAATTCAAACAAGCTCAGGTTTTTCTAGTTGCCATGGTTTCTAGAGGTGATAGTAAAATGACACTTTAAAAAAAAAAGCAAAAAGAAAAGGACATTTTATGGCAGCTGGGAAGTTTTAGTAATCTGAAAATCAAACTGAAGGGTTTCTTGCCCAGATGGTCAGRTGCAATTATTAATAGAAGCATTTTTATTGCTTCTCTCTGAGTTTTACTGTTAGGGGAAGAGGAGGGAAAGCTGAAGTCTTTCTCTGTGGCCCACAAGGATATAGTCATGAGCATATGCACAAATGTTCTATTTGATAGGAAAGACACTGACATATAGCTCTGCCAATTATCCCTAATAACTTCATTTGGATCAACTGATTTGATCTTGCAGATGCTATTTAATACGTGATGCAAATGCTAAAATAATCGGTCTCATAGTAACATTTTATTAGCATGACTGTTTCATGAAGAGTTAAAACTCTTTCTGCTATTTGCACTTCAAAACATTAATGCCTATTTATATTTCAAGTGATCTCCAAAACCCTAAGCTACTGCATTAAATACTCAAAGAGTATTTTTAAGGATTTCATAAAAGGACTGATACCACTTCAGCAATGCAACAGGTTATAAATTTAAGTACTCTCAAAAGCATCAAAATTGAGTCATATCTTTGCTTTATGAGGACTTCAGCAATTCATAAAACATTGTGCATTTTTGCAGGTCCAGCAATTCCAGTCATGATGCTCTAAATGCAAGAAGGCAACATTTTCCATTGCTCTTAGTTAACTGTACAGCATCCTTGGGATTTTATTTAATGAAGATAATACAATCTATACAGCATGTGGATTTTTTACAGGTTTAATTATACATTCCATACTCTGATTACATATTCAACACTTGTGGCAGTAATAGAATATAAAGGGACAGCCTCTTCTGTTGTTTTGTTTAGGTGTTTWGCCAGACTGAATAGGTTTTTTGGAGCCCAAGTGCACATGAGATTTTCTAGGATATTTTCTCTCATTTGCATTGATGCATGAAGGAAACCAAGTAACTCACAAGATAAATGTCCCCAAAAGCAGACATGGTGACCTTTGGGAAACCTCTGCTTCACCAGGGAAGTGACTACCTGAAGCAACAGCCTCCTGAGTTTCTACTCACAACACTACTCTTGGTTCCATCCTGCYACTTTTTGGTAATCCCAAAATTGGTAATATAATTGGTAATCCCAGCCCTTTTGCAAGCCTGTCCATCACAATTTCTGTAAATCTCTTGACTTGCTTAAAATCATGTCCCAAGTTTTGGAATCTCTCACCTAACCCTGTAAGAGTTTAGGCAAAAAGAGACATTCTCCAGAAGCTGAATGTTTGCATTCAGCCTGCATTCTGCATGATTGCAGAACAGGTGACTAAATTTACAGTCTTTGTTGTGTTACGTTGTACTG